GAACCGGCAAGGCCCCCAAACCTGACGGCAGCCGCCCAGACCTCTGCTGTCCTGGGAGGCCCCGCCTGGCTGTGCCCTGGCCACCAGAGGACCCAGGCAGTGACGCTCTGCACTCCCCACGCTCCAGCCCACCCTGCCATCCCCTCTGACCCTGGGACCCATTTAAGGGACAGGAAGCCCTCTGCAGGGCCCCACTGCTCCATCCAAGCCATGGGGGCCAGGTGGGGATTCAGGGCCCCTCCATATTCGCCCCACGTTTGCCTGCCTCCACTGAGGACCCCCGCTCGTGCCGCTTCAGTCTTTCGGTGCCTGACTCCCCTGGGGGGGCAGACTTATGAGGGCTGATGCCCCAGGGCCTGGAAGGGGCCTGGCACAGGGGAACTGCGCGGAAGGAGGGAGGGATGGGACGGGGGCGGAGGGGAGGGAGAGGCTGTCGGGGAGTGTCTGCCTCCACCCAGCCTCTCTCCTGACCTCCAGACCAGGCTTGAACTTGGAAAGGGCGTGGGCCCTGAAGCTGGTTGCCCAGGCTCCTGGCCAGGCCTCACCTGTATTGGCCGTGTCACCTTGGCCTCTGGGTCCTTGCCTGGTAAAATGAGGCCCCAGAGGGACGGGCCACATGTGGGGTGAGATCAGTGCCTGGGCCTCCCGGAGCACACTGCTACCCTTGACTGTGGTCACCTGCGGCTGCCCACAGTGCACCTCCACCCGGATGAGCACAGGCACCCAGTTCATATCTACGAGGAACCTGTGCTCCACCCAGGCCAATGCCTCGTGTCTGGGTCACCTCCTTCCTGTCCAGTCCTCCTGAACCCCCAGGCATTCTGCTCCCTCCCTTCTGTGTCCCATCCTGGACACGGGAGCCTGAACCCCAGGCGGGCAGGTGGACACCCCTTCGTGCAGCCCGAGAAGCTGCGTTCACCTGTCCGTCCCCTGGCCACACGACACTAGCTGACCCTCGCTTGCACAATGGACGTGTGCATGGGAGCCCCGGGTGGGCTGTGCCGGGGCATGGGGTCATGAGATTATCCCAGTGAGCCCAGTGAGCAAACGCTTGCTGAATACCAGCCGTGCGGCCCAGGTGCACACCCGGCTACACCACCAGAACAGTTACTGCAGACTTAGCGGCTGAAACAGCACAAATTTATCTCACTGTTTCTTTTTCTTTGGCTGTGTTGGGTCTTTATTGTGGTGCGTGGGATTCTCATTACAGTGGCTTCTCGTTGCAGAGCATCGGCTCTAGGCGCGCGGGCTTCAGTAGTTGTGGTGCACGGGCTTAGTAGCTCCATGGCATGTGGGATCTTCCCACACCACGGCTCGAGCCCGTGTCCCCTGCATTGGCAGGCGGATTCTTAACCGCTGCGCCACCAGGGAAGACCCTCACTGTTTCTTTAGGTCAGTCGTCTGAGTGGGCTCTACCGAGTCGTCTGTTCCCAGTCACATGGGGTGAAGGCTCTGTGTCGGCCGGGCTGGCGCTTACCTGGAGCTGGCTTTTACCTGGACAACTTTCTTCAAACTCATCCAGGTGCTTGGCAGACTCAGGCTCCTCGGGTTTGTAGGACTGAGGGCCCCATTTCCGCTGGCTGTGGGCCTCCCGCCCCTGCACCCACGTGTCTGTCCGCCTGGCACCTGAAATCTCTCTGGTTTCCTCTCTTGCTGCATTTCTCTGGCTCCAGCTGACCATTTAAGGGACAGCACATTCTCTGCTCTTAAGGGCTCCTGTGAATAGGTGAGGCTGGTCCAGACAATCCAGGACCCCCTCCCCACCTCAGGGTCCCTCTGTCAAGGAACGTGACGTTTTCACAGGTTCAGGGAGGCCATCTCTGCTATGCCTGCTAGGCCGCAGTGTCCTCACCTGCACATGGAAGAGGCCCCTGCTTTATAGGACTACGGGGACTAAACACTGGGCCTTACTGGGGGTGTATTTGTGCACAATTTTATCTAAACCTGCATACTTTTACACATAATTCTTTTTTTAATATTTATTTATTTTTGGCTGTGTCAGGTCTTAGTTGTGGCATGCGGGCTTCTCTCTCGTTGTGGTGCAAGGGCTTAGTTACCCCGCAGCATGTGGGATCTTAGTTCCCCGACCAGGGATTGAACCCACGTCCCCTGCATTGGAAGGCAGATTCTTAACCACTGGACCACCAGGGAAGTCCCCATGATGATTCTTATTACACTACAATTACGGTATTGTTCTAATGTAACTACATTTTTTTCCTAAAGTTATAACAGCTTCACTTCTCTGCTGAAAGTCTTGGTGCCCCCCTTTTATCAAGAGAAAGTTGAAAATCCCTAGATGGGTGGATGAACCTCCAGGGCTGGAATGCCCTCTCCCACCCCACCCCCTCACCCAACGCTCCCTCACAATCCTACCCCGGTCCAGTGGAGCTGCTGCCCTCCTCCCAGCTCACAGGTGCCCAACCGTGTCCCACCAGAGACAGAGGAGGCCACCCAGGGAGGGGCGGTCATGGCCCCACTGGGCTGGGCAGCGGGACCCGCACCTCAGGCCCCTCCCACTCGCACAGGACCCGAGGGAGGGTCCGCTGGTGGTGAAGGGTTGAACCCTGGGGTTGGCGGCCTGGTAATGGGAGGGGCGCCTGGAGGGTCCGTCACCCTGAGTCCACCAGGAAAAAGGGCTTTTCTGGAGGAGCCGGTCCAAAGGCAAGGAAGGCCAACTGGCCCTTGCAGCCTGGAGTGGACCAGCGCCAGATGGGACCTCAGGGCTCAGACACAAGAGGTCAGCGGAGACAACTTCCTGCGCAGGGCCCAGAGCCAGACTGGACCCCAGGCTTCTGCGTCCCCAGCCCCGGCTGCCCGGGCACGAGACTGGGGGGCGAGGCCGTGGAGGGGTCCTAACCAGCCTGGGGACCACGCCCCTCCCCCAGGGACCCCTCCTGCTCTCCGGGTTCTCCCATGACCAGACCCAGCTTACCCTCCCCCTTGGAGCACCCCCGCACCCGGGAGGTTGTTGAGGGGGACACAGACGACCGAGAGGAGGAATGGCCTAGCTGAGCCCCCGCCCCCGTCTGCTTCACCCTCTACCCGTTCAGGGGGCAGAAACCCAGAAACATTCAGAGGGCTCCTGCACCCGGGTTTGGGGTCTGACCTCAGAGGCAGGACAGTGGCCCCCAGGAGCTGCTCAGCCCCAGGGCCTCAGAGCCTGCAGCTGGAAGGGTCTTCCGCCCTCCACCCCCCACCTTGGAGCCGTGAGTGCCAGGGACACAGTCTCTGCCGGAGCCCCTGCCCTCGCCCCTATCCCCGGCAGCCTGGCCTCCTCCCAAGCAGGCCTAGGGCACAGATGGTGCCGCACCTGCTCAGCTGCCCCGCAATCTGGAGAGAAGAGCAGAGGCCCCCGTGCCGGCTCCTGCTGCAGAGAAGACCGGCTCTCAGCGAGGACACTCCCCACTTCCCTGCCCAGAAGACGGCTCGAGGTCCGCAGGGCCCCCCATCCCTCCCCGCCCTCCCCTGGTTCTGAGCCACAGGCCGCCCAGGAGTGCAGGGGCTTGGAGGGGAGAGATAGCCTCCGCCTTCCACCAGGTAGTTACCAACAAAGTAACTGCCAACCGAGGAGGAAGGAAGGGGCGGGTAGAGCTGGCCATGGGGCCAGCTCCGTGCCTGTCCTTCCTGTGTGCTAGCCCTGGGGGTCAGCAGTGGACAACCTGCCCTGGGGGGGGCTCCACCCCAGAGCGGGAGACAGTAAAGGGACACAGCAAATGTGATCCAAGCCCTCAAGGCAGCGAGCGGCTGGCCTTCGGGAGAGCGGGACGGGCAGTCCTGGCGAGGGCATGGCCGGCCGGTGCAAAGGCACTGAGGCAGGAGTGTGCCTGGTGCTCAGAATGAAGGAGGGAATCCACCCTAGTCCCCAGCCCCCACCCACCGCTGCCTTTCTGACAGCTTCCTTCCTGGAGCCCCGCATCCAGCCTGGGACAGTGCCCGAACCCTGCTCCGCCCCCGACACGTGCTGTCAGTCACACGTGCTGTAACTCAGCCGCCCACCCCGCCCCCCCGCCCC